CGCTGCATGTTCATTTCAAGATCAAGATCCAACATCACCAGGCATCCAAAGCACTGACCAGGCTGGAGGTCTACAGACCTCCATGCCCGTACCAAAATTGAATATATCATGCCAAATCACTGTCACACCTCATAGAAACCACACCCCAAACTCAATTCACTCCCAAAAGCATGGAAATGTTCAGCCTGCAAACTGCTCTAGGGATTTTGATTGCCGGGTCCCCCTCATTCATCTTTTCGCAGGCAAAGCTAGGATCTTTCGCTAGGCCACCTGCAGCTTGCCGGACGCTTCGCTTGATGTGGCTTCGCCCGGTCATCGGCACCTGAGCCAACAGCATTGCCACAGTTTTCTGCTGGCATCTGTAATCAACTCTCGCTGGCGCCAAGCCCATCCTCCATTGGCTGTCCATATAATTATGGCCCTACATCAGCTGTTGGAGGAATGGAAAGCTTCCGTTGGAATGATTTCGAGTTCTGTCTAAGCCTCTACAACTCTAAGCCAAGCATGGCAAGACCAACGAAGGGGACGAATGCAAGACCCTTGCACTTTGACCACGCTCACAGGAGCTCACCAAAAAGATTTGTGAAAACCAAAGCTTCTGCTCAAGAACAGTAGAACGATCCAAAAAAAGAAGCTCTTGATCTTCCAGTTGATCCCCAATGAAAGACTTCGTCATGCGTCACATGGCCAGGCTTGACCTCGAAAACCTCTTCAGTGTCGCTTTCCATTTCGAGGCCCCTGCAGCTGCGCAACTAGAGGCTCCACATGCGGCAACCAATGCGGCAAGCCACTGGTCACTGCTCAATGGATGATCTCCAGCTCTGGTCTGGGTCTGGGTCTGGTCTAGTCTCGGTTAGCTCTTGACAGCAGTGATGTGGAGCATTTGAGCCTTATAACTTGAGTCGAAGGGAAAGCAACACGGCACGACGGCTTCAATCCAACGAAGCTCGCGTCCAAGCCGGCCGGGTGACAAGAGCTCCTAGAGGGTCAACTGGACATGACCTGTGGACCGAGCAACGTTGCCTGACGTGGGATGTTCGTGCTCGGACTGAGACCACAAAAACCGGGACCAAAATCATGCACTGATGTCATGTCGATAAGAAAATGGTTCGTGAAGAAAGCCTCGTTTCTTCGTTTTCTTTAGACAGGTGCGCAGTCACAACGCCGTCGAGAGAGTGTCAATACGGCCCCCTCCCTCCACTGAGGCGACGTCCACCCTCCCTCCACCAGAGTTGGCATCTGGTCAAACAGCCAAAGCTAGACTGAGAATGTTGACTGTTGATCAATAGAACCCTCCCCATCCAGAGGCTTTACAGTCCAAATGTAATCAACCGTCTACAGGATGTGAATTTGATTTACCTTCGCACCGCGCACAGCCCCCCAGAAGTGTGTGGGTCTTTGAATGGTGAAGCCACCACACTCTAGTGTGAAGCTCTCAAACCCACTCTCCCAGCAAGCGACGCCTTAAAGTGATGGCAAGCAAACATAAAAAAAGAAGTTTGCAGCAAAATGCGCCTCAAAGTGATGGCCTTGACACCTTTTCTCTTGCCTTGCGATAGGCACTCAAAGCAATGTCGAAGCAGCGCTTGTCTGGCGGAAGCTGCCTGCATCACGAGGGTAGCAATTAAAATCTCTTTGAAGTACAGTGTGTACGGCAGAAATGTAACCCCTGGGATGCTGGAGAAATCGAGGCTGATTCAAAGACCTTGCGCGACATGGGAGCTGTCCGAATGGGCTTATTCCAACTGACGACGAAGGCTGTACATGCACTATCTCGATTCCCTCCTCAATGATTTGATATCCAATGATTGATGCATTGTCAGTGCTTTTGTATCCGCAACTCAAGTAAAAAGAGGTCTTTGACCTGTGGGATGCCTTTCTTGAGACGACTAGGGGAAGCACCGCTTCGGCTGACTTCGTGGGCGCTTAATCCAAACAAGACCGCCGGTGGGTTAACCTAGTCAATGTCAATGTCTGGTAAGGCTCGTCTGTCATAAACTCAGTCAGTTCTGCCTGTGCGAAAGAAACATCTTCAGCCATTCCTTCTCGCGAAACCCTCCAAAAGTGTCCTACAGTCCCACCTCCTTTCGATCTCTTCCAAGAAGCTTAAGGCCTCACTGTGAAGGGCATCGAAAGCTACTCTTGGATATCCGTTGCTGCTTGTCTGTGCCACAAGATCTGCATTGCCAGGGCCATTCTTGCTCTCCGTCCCTTCTGACCCCAACCTCAATCCAAAGATGTCCAAAAATCAGACCTGTCCATCAATGGCCAACCCAAAGACACCGGGGAAAATACACCAAACATCGCCCAACATCACCCAACTTCACCCGATCTGTCCGGCCAGAGATGCTCTCTCCGGCTCCGGAACCGGCTCCGGACGCGACGCCTCGGGTCGCCCCGGAAGAAATCGATCGGGCTGGGACGCCCAAACGATCTGCCAGTGGCCACCTGCGGTGCGTTTCGACCGTGCGACGGTGCGGAGACCATGAGGAAGCGAGCGAGCCGCCAGAAGCGAGCCGGTCAGTGAGGGTGTAAGTCGAAGTGGAAAGAAAAACTGAACGACACATAGGCGTGGTTTGGAATGGAAGGACATCCAAAGACCCCCTGGAAGAAGGAAAGTAGACAAAAAGCCTTTGGTTGGAGACCCTCCTGATTAAATCCCATTAAGAAATACATAGCCACATCCCCAAAGCTCCGCCGTGGAGGAAAAAGGATGTCCAAAAAGCAGGCCCAAAAAGTCCGTTCCCCCAAAAGGGGCTGAACCAGCGCAGGCCTGCAGCGCAGGCCTGCAGCGCGGCCGCAAAGCCACGGATGCCCGGGTTCATGGCCTTGGAACCCAATCGCGAGGGATTGTGGGTACTTGCAGACTCAAGAAATCCATGTACTTTAGCGTGAGAAATCCAAGAAATGATCATTACACCTCAACGCACTCCTGTTGGCAGACTGACCCCCCACCTGGGGCGTCTCAACAGCTGGTGTTTCACCGGGCACGCGGCCTCCTGGAGCTGGAACTCTGACTCGAACAAGTGAAGGGCCTTCTTCGAGGTGCAGCGAAGTGCTCAGCGGCTACGGCAACCGGGGGCAAGAGGGGGCTACGGGGGCTGAACGCGGACCCTGCTGTGACCAAGGGCTGGAACAAACTGTTTGTTTTCCAACAAAGACTTCATTGAACGGTCACACGAGCGTGTGTGAAAGCGAAGCAAGAATGCGTGTGGCATGCGAGGCATTGGGGGGGCCCAAGGATCGCACCGTAATTGTGACAGAAGCAGGACCCCAAACCACGAGCTGACAAGAACAGGGTCGTCTTTGCAAAGAAAATGGGGCCAAGAATCATGAGGCCCAAGTACGACCTTGTCCTCGGACAGGGGAGGAAAGCCACATGACCCCACCAAAAAACAAAAACAGAATCAACCCACCCAACGAGGTCCATGTCCATGTCCCCTGTCACGATCGACCATTGGAAAAGTTGGACACACCTCCTCCCAGCGGCTGCCGTGTGCAAGGGCCGACACGGCCTCGGGCGCGCGGGGGAGCACGCGGGGGGGGGGTGCGCTCGGGCGTGGGAAGTCTGCCAAAATCTGCGCGTCCAAACAGAGGCGAGGCCACCTTCGAAACTCGTGTGTCTTCGTGGTGGTTGTGGAATGGCAACGATTCTCCCTGTCCATCAATCGGTCTTTTTCCGAGGCGCCATCAATCATATCTCAAAAAATCTGCGCATTCATAGCCACTGCCATCTCCAATCGATGGCTGTGGTATCAAGGCAGCTCCGACTTCACGTCTCAAAGCCTGAGAAGCCCAACCTCTCCGAGAGGAACATCATGAATATTCATGAATGAACCGAGGAGTGACGGCTCCCAGAGCTTCGCACCGACTCACTTTCTCCTGCGGCAGCTGCAGCTGCCGCACAGGTCTGAGGTGGCGCCGGCTCTGGCGGCTGAGATGGCGCCGAGCCAGCTGGAGCTGTACGATTCTTGCCACTTTCGCACACCGATGGTTCCTGGTCCGGCTCCCCAGCGGCGCGCGGCGCCGTGGCCTGCGTGGCTGCACCGGCCCCAGCGAGCCGGGCCAGCAATGCCTCAGCAGCGGCAGCAGCAGGCTGCTCGTTTGAAGCATGGCTTGAAGCTCCCACCACCATTTGTGGAGGGAAAGTGGCGCGCACCACCGCGCGGCACGTGTACCTTGTATCCATCCACGGATCATCATGGACAGATGGCGTGTACGTCTCGATGTCCATGCTGACGATCTCCAAGAAGGGAGTCACGATGCCAACCTTCTGCAACTTTCGATTTGCCTCTCCCAACACCGCATCCCGGAGCTCGGACTCGGTCCAATAAACATCCCACTTTTCAGAGTCCTGGCGGATCACCGTTAGAGGCATGTTGGCAGTCTGAAGCTTCGGCGAGGCCTCTGCATCCCTTGCCTCCTCCTGCACTGGTTCCAAGCGTGGTGCATCGGCGAGCTGCTCTCTGATCATGCGGGCATTCACTGCGGCTTCCTGGCAATCCTGGTGGTTCGCCAGGACACGTTCAAAATATCGCAGTGCCTGTTGGAGCTGACCCTTCTCCTGCAGCCGCTCAGCACGGTACATCAACGCGGCTGTGGCACGATCCAAGTTCAAGTCGTTCATGAGGTAGGCCATATGCTCGGAGCGACTGCTCGTGTTGGAGAGATTCGAGACACTCGCTGCTTCCGACATCACTGTGGACCTCGGATCAGATACTGGATCCTCACTTCAGACAGTGGCTTGAGCCAAAGAAACGGTGATGCTCTGCTTCCCCATGCTTCGATTCATTCACCAATAGCTACCTTCTGCCTGAGCCTCCAACTGCCCCGGCGCCCGCTGCCGACCTGTGGCCGCTGCTTTTCAGCGTGCCAAAGAGCGCCAGGGCGGCCTCCCAGACAGAGAGGACAACCTTCTGTAAAAGGGAGAAATGAAGAAATAGAAATAGAAATGATAGAAAGGCAGGTTGCCTTGGGGCCTTGGCTCTTTCTTCTGTGAAGAAATCGAAAGTGGTTCCTGGTTCTCACATTCTCTACCATTCTGAGCTGAACATGTGGGATGGACACAAGAGAAACTTCTGTGAGCTGGTTGCCAACAGTGAAACGCGCACTGGGTCTCCACCAAGCCAAGGCAACCTACCTGCCTACCTCACCACATCGGCAACACTGGCAACATCTCCAGCAATTCGTGGCCTCCCACTGTTGAGCTCGCCGGCAGGCATCAATCGCTGCAGCCAGAACTGCCTTTGGATGGAATGAAGTGCCAGGCCATGTCCAGGAAACGTGCTCAAAGCTGTTCACTCTCTCAGATCAGACTAAAATCACCCCATCACCATCACTGACCAAGGCCATCACTAGAAGTCCACGTCCGCCCAGCATCAACCCGCATCACCGACCCGCCTCGTCGCGGTCCCGCGCCGCCAGGGCCAGCGCCGCCGCCCAGGCCGACGCCCTGCCACAGGCGCTGGCGGCGGCGCTGGACACGTGGCTCAAGCGGGCGAACCTCGGAGCCGAGCGGAGGGACACGCGGCCGTCGATGTCGGTCGAAGCAAGGGAGCCCCGGTCGAAGTGGTCGAGGGACAAGAGGATCCGGTCCCCTTTCGAAGCCAATTCGTGAAAAAATCCCTTGAACCCCCAAAGAGGTGCTGAGGGACCTGGGGATGCCAAGACTTCAGTGATGTCCTTTTTGAGGGGTTGATGCCAGGTACCACATGACCGAACTTGGTTGTTCACGACCGAGGATGATATCGCCTCTATTCATCAACCAACCGATAGTACAAGGCCTTCGATGGTGGCCAGCACGTTTAGATAGAGATTTGAGAAACTGTTCCATTAAGGAAAGAGCCTTCTATGCTATATATATATATATATACACCTGTCTGGGAGCCCCAAACCCAACGTGGGCAGCATTTCGCAAGAACTCCAGCGCGAGTTCCCACGAGCTGCCTGCGAGGGAGCGCATCGGAAGAAAAGGATCGGTCTGCGCGGCTGCCTGGAGCGAGTCGCTGGTTGGGACATGTTTCACGAGAGTGTGGTCCCCAACAAAAAGAAAGAGTCAAGTCTTTGAAAAGTTTCAAACATACCGAAAGGAATGTGTTTTTCAGATGATACTATATGTGTATAATACAGGTCCTGCTTTGGAAATCCAATTCTGAGACGAATTGGCAGACCCCTTCCCAGCCTCGGCTGCATGCTGCTAAAAGCATGGAGTAAGTCACAGCCTCACGGTACTTCAAAAGGAAAGGAATGGTCACGCTCCTGTGAGTATGATGGAGATGCCCTTTGTTGCGATGGTGGGAGAAAAAGGAGAAAAACAATGGACTAATCGTAGACAACACAGCTTGAGCCTGCTGTGGGCCTAACAAAGGTTCTCCGTCTTACTTCCGGAGAAGATGTCCAGAGTCCATGAATGTTTTGAGTGCTCCACGTCCCACGTCGCGCTAGCTTCTGCAGCTAAATGCAAGGCAAGCCTCAAAATGACCAAGGCATTGGACTGGGCCCTCAACTCATGGGCTAAATATGGCTAGTCACTAGTTCTTTGTGGTGCACTTTTTGGAAGTGCAACACAGGGTTCCGATGTATCTGCACCCGCGCCACGGCCTGAGCGATCACAGGTCACTGAGACCTTTTGGTAGCTTCAGAAGCTCTGTGTCAATGTCATTGGGCCGCTTCTGATGTCTTTCATCGCAAGCCATGTGGGTGGGAAAAGCAAAATAAGGGGCTTGAGCTAAACAGAGTGAGGGATTAAGTGTTGCCCCCCCTCCATTTATACTATGCACTTGTGTCTCTCAGTGCAGCTTACACTTGCAAAGCAAGGAGTCATGTGGGCTCCCATAAGCAGCTGAGCAAGATGCCGGGGTCATAGAACAGCATCCCCCTTTCAGCCCCGGAAGCCCGGAACCACATCCATGTTCTATCTAGAATCGATTCATGTCCGTCCTCAACAGACCTTTCAGCACCTTGTAGGACCTCCCAGGTGGTTGTCCGATGGTGTCCTCCCAATGAATGTTCATTGTGCAGCTTGAAGAAGAGGCCCAAATCCGTTCCTTCCTCGGCCCCTTGTTCAGACCGAATGGACCCAATGGACCATGGGATGACAGCTCTGACAGTGAAAAACCGCTCTGACAGTGGCATCATCCACGAAGGAACAACAAGACGGAGAAGGCAAAAGCCGGAAATGCTGCGGAGGCAAAAGCCTCCCTGTACATGGCGGGACTTCTGGGACTTCTTGCAAGTTGACACTTCCGACTGCCAAAAGCAGTTGGAAGAAAAGACAGTTGACACTGTGCCATGTGCCAGCGCTGAGGTCGCTACTCCCATTGAAACCCCGCTCGGCATGCATTGATGCCAGCATTGAGCCCTCGCGAGATCCAGAATAACAGAAAATAGAACGTAAAAACTCTAACATGATCCTGCTGACATGTGCATGTGTGTGTGTGTGTGCGTGTCGAAAAGGAAAGGCTTGAAAATGGCCTTTCCGCGCTACCATTGACTACCATTGACCACCTACTTGCGAAAGTGGCCACCCATCAGAGTCCATTTCAGCCCATTCAGCTCCTGCAGTCTCCTTCAAGAACTCATTCTTCACCAGCAACTGGAGCGCCTCCTCCTCAGCGCAGGACTGCTCACGGGGCGGCTGAACCAATTCGCCTCGGGCGCCCGGCCCACAGCCGTTGCCTGAAACGCGGTAAAGCAGCGACGAAGTCGCTGCTGGAGGCTGACAGTCTGGGCCCCAAAATCCACAAAAATCTGCACTTGGCCGTTTCTGAGTTGATCCAGTCGAAGAGATGACAGTCTGGGCATGAGTCTCTCAACCGGAACTGCTGAAGTGCTCCAACCATGATTTGTTCGGGGCACATGGCAGTCCAAACCCCAACTGCCTGATTGCCCAATGCCAGTTGAAATGCCTTGCTTTCAGACCCTCCTGACCCCCCCCCCCCCCCCCCGTCCGACGGAGGAAAAGAGACCACCTGGACAGCGCAGCCGCGCAAATGGCCCCCTCCTAAGGAAAACGGGTTGAAAACGGGAGTCGCGCTCCGAGGATTTGGCCCCCACACCCGGAACTCACCGAGATTCGACTGTTTTTTCGTTGGAATGTCCAGCAGAACAATAGGAACTCACCATGTGCCGTGGCACACCATTGAACCTCCACTTTGGTCCAAATCTATACAGATCTCTCTGAACTGCGTTTCATAGACACAAAGAACAGTGGCTCCACCATGTTTTTTTTTAAACAAACTGTAAAAATGATGAAGGAACTGTTCGTCAGCACCGCAAACCCCAAACATTCACAAGCATGCCTATATAGTCACTCGTCATCCTCCGGTGAGACGCCGATGAGACAGCTAAAAGCACCCCGTAAGACTGGCACCTCCGCATTTTGCAGAGGGCCATCCCGGAGTAGCCGTTGAACCTGCAGCACAAACTGATGCTCGGGGTTGGATGCTTCCATTGGACGTCCATGTCTTACTTCTGCTCCAGTAATTCAAGAGTTCTGTCCCAAGGATGTTGATCTTTCTGTCCCACAGATCCCAGCTCACTTCGCTTCTTCGGACAGCCCTCCAAAGCTGGGACCAGCTGGGACCGTTTCCACCGCCCAGGCTTGCCGCATCCAGCACGGCTCCGCAGCGCAGGGACCGATCACGGACCTCCGCCAGCCTCTTCGGCGCTGGAGAAAGGGGTCCAAGCGACGACGGTGGTGCCACCGGTCCCCGTCCATCGTTGGAAAAACCATGGTGTGCATCAGGCAGAAAGCAGCCAACTCGCGGACTGCGAAAGCGAGACAGTTTAACACAACACTTGCAAACACGTCCACGTCAAGCCCAAAAAAGAACCTTCCACTTCGTGGGGTACTCTAGGGATTGTATGCTACAGAAGAAGCATATGTCACACAAACATGCAATATACCACATGAGAAAGACATGACCGGTCTAATACACTACCATATATAGTCACAAACCAGGCTCCAAGATCAGAATGAAAACAAAAAGATTCGTGTTTTTGGCTGCCCTTTCAAGAGCTCTTCCACAAGTCTTAAACAATCGCAATAGTCGTGTCAGAATTGTCAGAGAACCTGACATTCCCCTTTTAATGCGAAGATGGAGATGGTTCAACGAACCCTGCGAAACGAGTCTTCCAATTTGATTCAAAGACTTCGAAGACCTCGTGGCGAAGTGGGTGCCAAGTCCCCAAGTCCCTGACAGCACTGGTCTGCTGGGAGAACGCTGCCATCCTGCCTGAATCGACGCATCGACCGGATTCGAAGGAAGGGCGCACGTCCGAAGAAAAGATGAGCACCTTGAAAGACCATCCGTGCCATTTTGTTAATGTCCTTCGCATCCATTCATGGGTTGGGCAAGTGGTCTTGTTTGTGCAATTTCAAAATGTTTGCAATTTTTCAAGCCCAACAATACCCCAGCAAAGGGCATCAAGTTTGTTCCACAAAACATCACAAATGTTGTGAGGCTGAGAAATATTAAACCAGCATGTGCGCCAAATGATCTCATCTGAATCTTGAGCATACACACATCAAAGCCAAACAAGCATTGGCAAACCACGTGTTGCGATAACACAACCTAACAGAGCGATTATGAGTTCCACGGATCAGAGGTGCAATCCATCAACGCCAAAACCCCAAGTTTTGGTTTGAAAATGGCAACTAAAATTGACTTCCCGACGTGCGAAAGCTGCCGAGCTGGGAAGGTGACCAACCCGAGTCCTAAATCCCCTACCGGGCTCCTGTGTAGAGAGGAGGCTTGAGTCCACGAAGTGGGAGAACGCACAACATTTACTGAAAAAGTACGAGCTGGAACCCACAAGCCCGAATGCAAACACGTACTCGAAAACAAACACTCAAACAATTTTTGATGTTCTTGTAGGAGACACTTTTGTGGGACACTCTTGTAGGACACATTCCTTTCGGAAACCTTTGTGGGACACTCGTGTGCACTCTTGTGGGAGACCTTGTATGACATTCACTCTTCTGGGACACTCTTGCGGAACACTCTCATAGGACACTCTTGTGGGGCAATCTTGTAGGACACTCTTGTGGGGCACCCTTGTAGGACACTCTTGTAAAACATGCTTGTGGGACACTCTTGCGGGACACTCTTGTGCCCTTATAGGACACTCTTGTAGGACATTCTTGTGGGACACTCTTGCAAGATACTCTTGTAGGACACTCTTGTTTATCACTTTTGTGGGACACTCTTGTGGGGCACTCTTGCGGAACACTCTTGTAGGACTCTCTTCTGGGACACTCTTATATGACACTCTTGTGGGAAACTCTTGCGGAACACTCTTGTAGACACTCTTGTGGGAAGTCTTGTAGGACACCCTTGTGGGACACTTTTGTAAGACACTCTTGTGCGTGGGACACTCTTGTATGTCACTCTTGCGGGACACTCTCGCAGGACACTCTTGTCGGACACTCTTGTGGGACACTCCTTTCACTCTTGTCGGATACTCTTGTGGCACTTCAAGTTTGCAAAGCGAGCGATTCGTGCAAGATTTCCAATTCACGCGTCAATCCTCCAAAACGAGCGTTTCCCGCAAGACTTCCTCAAAAACTCACACGTCAAGTCTGCAAAACGAGCGCTTCGCACAAGGCTTCCTCAAAATTCACGCGTCAATCCTCCAAAATGAGCGCTTCGTTTCCAGACTTCCTCAAAAACTCACGCTTCAAGTCTGCAAAACGAGCGTTTCGTACAAGACTCCAAAAGTCACGCGTCCAGTCTCAAGGAACACTCGCATCAGGCAGCCCGGCCCTGCCAAGCAGTTTTGTGCTTCCAGCGCCTCGAAACAAAGCCCGCTCACACGCCAATCCCAATGTCACAGCAACATTCACCTCCACCACAACTCGCAACCTCATAAATCCCTCAACCTTCCACGAATTTTTTTGTTCTAGAGATACTCAATGTTCTAGAATACATGTACAAGAAAGCTGC